AATCCAATGTGAAAAAAGCTTGATTAGAATTCGGCAATTATTCGTTAGACACGGTGGTCGATAATTTGATGGATTGGACAGATTCTGAGTCATTAACCTATACGCACACACAGATATACACACACGCACACACTTCGGGCTTGCGTGAATAGATAAGTAAGTCGATGGGCTTCGTACGATTGTCACGTACTATCTATATTCTTATGAAAAAAACGGTGATCACAATTTGTCCATAGTCGGAAAGATCCCGGGATAGACTGGTCCCCATTGTTGTGAGATAAATTTTCAGAAAGGAAATCCGCTATCTATTATTATAACGCCAAAACTGATTGATCGGTTGACCAGCAATCCCCATTCGGTGCATATGTAAAAAGTGGATTGCGAAATTGGCCTCAGAGCTAAGATTGGATAATTCCCTTTTGGTACTGGAATCGCTTTCAGGAATTGAGGTTCCATCGATTAAACAACTGGAACATCAAATTAAGGTTGATGCGTTTCATGGACCTTGTGAAACTATAGAACGTCACTTCGTCCACGATATGCTTGAGTGAGAATTAAGTGGTTACGTGACTCCGCGAGGCTGGATGTTACCCAATTCAGAGTACCCACAAACAAACACGTTCCTTGAGGGGTGGTGGGGGGGGTGTTTCCACATGAAATTTACCAAAACACGTTCAACGGGATCGCCATTGACATTTCATGCACTTTCGTTTTTGTCATTATCGTTGCGGCCGAAAATCCTGCAACCGGTAACAGGAGCGCCAAGTCCAATGTGTTGGGAAAAAAGTTATAATAACTAATCGTTGAAAACAATTGATCTGACAGACGGTGGAATACCTTTCATGCAACCAATCAGGATCCTCTTTTCTTTTCCGTTATACTTAACAGGCAATAGCATAATCAATTATCAGCCAGGAGAAGACGACCAATCAAAAGTGCAAAAGTTTGAAGGCAGCAGTGACGTCTGACCACAAGTTCCCGGTTGTTATGACACCGCTTGACCACCTTAACTCTGCTCGCTCTTATTTCCTGCTAATTGACGTTTTCCATCGTACGGATCAAGGTGGAGTGAAATGTGACGGAATAATTTAATCACATCGTTGATTAACCCGAACTGCTTGATTCGAACGAACCCAAGGAGTCTATTCATGATAGACCACGCGTGTTGGGGGATTTTCAGTGCAAGGCTGGAATGAGACCACAACACCTTACCCTACCGGAACAGTTGATAATGTCATGTAAAACGCAATTAACTTTATTCCGGGTAGGAAACAATGGGGTGCCGTTATCCAGTATCCCTTGTAAACAGAGTTTCAAACTCACTCTCCCTTTATCTCCTGGAAGTCTGCCGCATACAGCTGAACAACGTCCTGATCAGAATCCAGCACAGACAGCCATCCTTGCGGAAGGCCTGGCTGATGTGTTGAGACCGTGCACCGATTAGCACGTTTCTGCCCCTTTCAGTCTCACCTGCACGTGCCTACTCGGTAATTTGACACTAACCTAGATAAAAATAACACCAGTTTCAACGATAACAATGTTAATAGCTTTTCATCGTATTATCATATCGAACGCTGATAAGGAAAATGACATTTCAAAGTAAACTGAACTGTAATGAAGATAACTAGTGGGAACCAAATAGGTGGCTGCACTGGATGGACGCACCTTCTGGATGGCGGTGTGGCAATCTCACCGGACTGGTCCGAACTTTCAAAACGATTCTTGATCCGATTCACATAGCCTGTAATTCGACAATAGACAAACAGCAGAGAGATAGAGACAGCGAGTCAGTTTGCGAAGTGAGGTGAGGGAAGAACATGGAGAATGTACCGCTACCACAAACCCCTCACTTCACGATTGTGGAATAGATATGTATATGCTCATCTGCTCAAGGCCACCAAACTGGAAGGGTAAACCAAAGAAATAGTAAACATCACAACCATGGAGACACACCTCTACGAAAGGATGATTTCAGATGATCGCAAATAAGGCGATCCTCTATTAGTGGACAGATAAAAGCACCAAACGGAAATACTTTCACAATTATGTGATCCATTTTTTGTGTCGTTCCTGGTGGATCGAACAGAACATTCCTGTGAGTCGAGAAGCAAATATACGAATGAAAAGAAGCGAATCCATTCAAGCGTACAACACACACACAGACACGTATCCATAAATCGGTGTATCAATGCAGTGATATAGTACTGTCCGCACCGAATGACATGAGAGAGAGAGAGAGTGAGAATCAAGAACTCAGTCACGTGGGTAGCATCCTCCAGTTCATAGTGAGACCAGTATTATTGAAAACCGGGTAAAACGTATGCATGAGACTAGTTGAGTGCATTTGTAGTCCTTCGCAGCATTTGTCATAAGGATTTGGGAGACGTGTTACTCAAAGCCATTGACTAGAGAGAGAGAATCAGCACCCGGAAAAGAAGACACTCATTTTCATTAAGGCTCACATTAGCCTGTGTGCACCATCATACTAGCGGGGCACATGTTTTTGGTTCGTTCACTGCTCCGGTACAAGTTCAAGCGCGAATACGAGCCGAGCTGAATGACATGATAGAATATCGTCCCGGTTACCGTTTATGGCAATGTCGTGTAACCAGTACTAGCCAACTGGCGTGGTATGGAACAGACGCGTGTAAATCAGCTCTTCGATTCTGGGAATGTGTGCGCACGCGCGCTCTTGTATACGCGGATGGTTGTATTAGGTTGAGATGGTCAAAGACGTGTCGGAAGCATGATGGATAA